GGGGGGGGGGGGGGGGGGGGGGGGGGGGGGGGGGGGGGGGTGAAAAGGGGGAGGAGGGGGGGTGGAGGAGGGGAACTTCAAAAAAGAAAAGAAGAAAAACTGAAAAAGACCAAATTGTTCAGACATTTCTAATGCATGTTTTGCACCATCCGCAGTGCTGGCCGCTTAGAGTCCTCACTGCTATATGCATGCATGCAATGCCATCTGTACTGCGATGATGATGCAGCCCGTGAGAAAATGATCCCAACAAGTACAGCCCTAATGCGTGTGTTGCACACCAACCATCCGCAGTCCTGGTCACTAAGAGTCCGCATTACTATCTGCATGCATGCATGCAGATATGCAATGCCATCAGATTCTGTAATGTGATGCACCTCGCGAGAAAATGATCCCAACAAGTACAGCCCTCCAATGCACATAGAAAGGGACGGGATGGGAGGTGGTCTCATATTCCAGGACACCCACGGCTCACAGCTCCAGGTAATAACTGTGCACTCAGTAACTGGCCTCTACATGTGAGCCAGGTAATCACTGTGCACTCAGTAACTGGCCTCTACAACACCCTGGACTTGCGGCGCCCAGGAATCATGAGCCACCACAAGGGGTCGTTTTGGGGATGCACTTGCGGCGCCCAGGAATCAAAGCTTGCAGCATGATATTACCTTTTTCGAAAAAGAAAAAGGATTACCTTTTCCGAAAAAGAAAAGGGTGGACATTTGCGAATTGGCCCAGAGTGTTTGGGGGAACTTTCAGTCTAGATGCACAGTGATAATTACCTGGCGTTCTATTCGAGTTAAGATGGCAGTGGTTTAATGAACTGCTATCTACTACCTTATCTGGGGAAATATGCCATTAGAGAAGATCAACGGAAAAGCATCCATGAACTTTTTTTTTTTTTTTTTTTTTTTTTCCCAATGAACTTTCAATCTGTCAAGGTTGCAGGGCTTTCTTTTTCTTTTTTTCTCTTTTTTTCCTTTTTTTCCCTTTTTTTCTTCTTTTTTTTTTTTTTTTTTTTTTTTTTTCAGGGCTACCACTTCAGTATGGCAAACACTGCACATCAGTGCTCGTATACCACCTCCGCCGAGATCATGTGGGGTCATATGGCCTGGCCACACCACTGTGGAAACGAAAAGAGAACGAATGCATCTTCCGCAGAAAGGGGAAAAATGCATGGGTTGCTATTCATAGTAAAGGATGCATCTTGCCCTTCTGTGTGGGAAGATGCATTCGTTCTTTTTTCGTTTTGTCAGCCCATGGAATTGACGCAACTTGCCAAACCTGTGAGATGGACGCGTAAAAAAAAAACAAAAAAACGAAAAAAAAACATAGCAACCTATGGGCTGAGCCAATACAGGACGATTTGGAATACTAATGGATTTCCTCTTTCGGTTTTTTTTTTTTTTTTTTTTTTTTCCCAATGCAATAATGAGGATCGATAACACATGCGGCGATTCGGCGAAACATCTCATCCCCCACGAGCATCATCATCTTTTTTTTTTTTTTTTTTTTTTTGAGCATCATCATCTTTAGTGCGTGTATGATGATGCTTCACACTATTTCCTTCTTTTTTGTTTTTTTTCCCTTTTTTTTTTTTTTTTTTAAATTAAACTTCCTCTGAGACAGCTTGAGGTGCTGGTAGGAGCAGTCATCTCAAGCTAGTAGGGCTCCATCTATTGGTGGGGAGCAGCACCAACTGGGAAACGGGCCCAGCGTTCCAAATTTACAGAATTCACAGGATTCATAGGATTTTCATACATGTGTAGTGTGTACTGTGTGTATTTGTAGGTATATAGTTGTGCCTATGCCTGTCTACACTTGTATTAAAATTGTCAGTAAAGTTTCCAATTCGGGAAATACATCGGGGGTGAAGTCCCACCAGCAGCGTTGAGTTTCCTCAATGCCTGAATCTGGTCGTTTGGAGATGTGCAGAAAATGGCGTTGAGTTTTCTCAACTGCACGTCTCCACAAACACGTCCAGATTCAGGTGTTCAGGAAACTCAACGCTGCTACCGTCTTCTCCTGAACACAATGCACCCTAATTATGACCGCATCCAGTCAGAAAGCTGGCTTGTATACATTCAGAATCAGGGTGCGTTATGTTAGGGGGAAGACGGTAGTGGGACTTGGCCCCAAAGTAATCAACAACGACAACGGCTTATCATTCTGTTCTTTGTCGCCTCAACTGCCTTGATTTTTCGATTTTTTTTTATATAGATATATATATTTTTTTTTGTGTGTGCATGGGTCCTGGGGACCATCTTATGCAGATGTGTACATGTCATGCATCATCTTCCACACACAATGAACAGTAGTCTGACCATAGACAAAGGTAGAGAAGAAGAGGACCGAGTCTCACAGCTTATATTATCAGAAATATGATTACAAAGTGTTTCAAAGTTTCCCTGAGTCCAGCGCTCATCAGCGCAACACAAATCTCTGCTCAACTCATCAATATGCCTTCCAGTGAATCAGTGCTACCCCTGCAGATAGTCTCCAAATCAACAATGTGATCACCACTCATCAGCGCCACCT